AGCACTGGTTGCATTGCACCATTTTCTTGGTGGCTTTCCCAGGGCAGGAACTAAATCTTATTTATCTTTGTATCTTTAAGGCTGAGGACGGTCTCAGAAACCCAGTAGCTGATCAATAAATGTTAGCTGGAAATAAAGGAAGCAAAGATGAGATAGAAGCAGAAGTGGCCTATTTTCTCCAAAGGTTAAAGAGAATGTTAATACCTAAGATTGGTGAGGGTATAGGAAAACCTGCACTCCTAGTTACGTATCCCTCCACCCTTTCTGTGGGACAAGTCGGTAATACCTATAAAAAGCCAAAATATATGCATATTTCTACCCAGCAATTACAAGTCTGGAAATTTAAATTAAGAAAGCAATCAAAGACTGACATCAGTCTTGGCCATGATTTTTGGATTTGACACCCAAAGTCGAGGCAGCGAAAGCAAAAATAAACAAGCTGGACTACATCAAACTAAAAGCCTTCTTCGCAAAGGAAATTCATCAATAAAATGAAAAGGCAACCTAACTAAATGAGAGAAAATAATTGCAAATCATATATCTGATAAGAGAGGTTAATTTCAAAAATATATTAAGAACTAATACAACTCAAGAGTGAAAAACCAAACAACCCAATTTAAAAATAGGCAGAGGGGGCTTCCCTGGTGGCACAGTGGTTGAGAGTCCGCCTGCCGATGCAGGGGACATGGGTTCGTGCCCCGGTCAGGGAAGATCCCACATGCCGTGGAGCGGCTGGGCCCGTGAGCCATGGCCGCTGAGCCTGCGCGTCCGGAGCCTGTGCTCTGCAACGGGAGAGGCCACAACAGTTAGAGGCCCCCGTACCCAAAAAAAAAAAAAAAAAATCAGGTTGAACATTTACCGAGTGATTATCTTTGGGCAGTGGTATAATGGGCATGGATTTAACTTTTTCTTTGTATTTTTTCCAAGTTTTCTCATCTGAACAGTATCTGCAACTACAAAAGGATCAAATGTACCTTTTCAAAGTGGCTTATTTTGTCATTTCCTACCTGAGCATCCATCTGAAGATAATCAAAACTTGAAGACTGATCTGTCGGCCAGTTTAGATATGATCAAGCCAAGACATCCACAGCCACCATGACCTCTGCTTCCAGCCATCACCACCCTTGTCCTGAACACACTAAGGTGGTGGATCCCAGGGGAAGAGAATTCAGAGCTTCCCCCTTCTGTTTGCCAGCTTCTCTGGGGTCCCACTTCTGACCTGGATCCTGGACATTGGTTTTTTTGTTTGTTTTGTTTTTAAAGCCCCTCTAACTGACTATAATGTACAGCCACAGTTGGAAACCCATGGCTCTATTCTACTCTGCTCACTTTGCAGGTGGGACAACAGAGGCCCAGAGAAGTTCACAATGATCCCAGGGCAGACCTAGATCCTGGTCTTTTAATTCCTGGTCCTCTGCACTTAAGCAAACCAATAAAATCAAGGGTGGGGTTTTGTAGATTGACAGACTTGGAGCACCCCAAATGTTTCAAGAGAAAAACGGGGAATGCAAAGACTTCTAAAAATAACCTAATTTTGATCCCTTCCCCAATCCAAGTTTAGAACTATGTCTGAGCAAATAGTTATCCAAAAGTAGTTATTGAGCGCAGGACAGTTTGGAAAGATTAACCACGGTCTAACATAACAATGGGAAAGGCACTACAAAATCTAACTTAATGCAACTGTGTTGAGTGAGCGAAGATGATAGAAATCAAAATACCATTGTATTCAAGGTTGGCTTTATCCCAGAACAAATAAACATAATTCCATCCAGGCCTTTGCCCTCCTAGCTGGGTCCTAGGACCCCAGTCTCTTTCTCCTGGTGACTGCCAAGAACGTCCTCCTCTGGTTACCCTTGCAAACCAGTTACACTTGTAAACCAAAAGCAATAGTTTCTCTTTCCATCCAGTCTCTACCCTGCCCCCAACCAGTCCTAACACCTCACATCTTCCCAATGAGATAGAATGAAACCTCGGATTGTTTCCCTGGAAGGTGTGCACAGTAGAAAGAAGTTTAGACTTAAGTCACCAATCTGACCGTGTGATATCTGGAAAGCCCTCAACAAAGCATTCAACTCTTTAGGACGCAAACCTTTTCTGTCTGTGACATGCATGGCTACTGGGAAATCTATGAGGGCCAGTCTGATTTATTCAATGACAGCTTTGTGCAAGCCCAGCCCAGACCTGGTTTGTAAATGTGTAGTTAATCTTGAAGCTAGTGGCGTGTGGTGTTACAAGAATGTGTAATGGAAGCCCTCACTTAGTCATTTCCCTACTTGTCCCTGCTTTAAGCAGTACAAGAAATACAGAAAACATGGGAGGTGAGAAATATTAGATTTGTTGCAATCTAAGAACAACATCGATTGTTGAAGAAAACAACTTCACTATTGTTTGAAGTGTCTTAAATCAATACCCTGGTGCTGCCTGACTTCTAAGTTATGTGGAAAAATTTGATTTTCAATATTTACGCTTCAGTTTTAAAAAATCCTCAATTTCTTACCTTGGATTCTTAGCTCCCTCTTTTTCACGATATAGTGAGTGAAGGGTGTTAGATGGGAAGGGGGAAACCCCACCATTGGCCTCACCGAATGCCCGGGTTGTTCAAGCAGCAAGACACTTCTCTGCAAGAATATCTGCTTGTTTTGCTTTTAAAGCGCAATTTTATTGCCACCCACACTCATTAGTTTACAAAACCCACTGAGCTCCCACATGCCGGGCCATGAGGAGAAAATACTAAGCAAGCTAGACAAGTTGCCCGCATTCTTAGAGCTTATCGTTCACTGGAAGAGGCGGCCAATAATCAGATATCTGCACAAAGGTGTGCCTGCGCAATGTGATAACTGCTGCGAAGAAACACAGGAGCAAAGAGAACCCATAAAAGGAGGAGGGAGACTGGAAGGTGAGTGAAAGTGTCTCCTGAGGAATTGACCTTTGAAACTGAAGGATGAATGGGAGTTTATTTAGAGAAAGAAGGACAGGGAGCTCAGGCAGGCGCAGGCCACAGGCCAGGCAAAGGCCAGAGGCCAAGGGGAAGAGTAGCTGTCGGAGAGAAGTTTTGTCAGCTGTCCCCTTAAGGTCTTATCAATTATACGGGGCAGGTATGCAATTGTTTTCTTTTTGGCAACTCCACCTGTACTTGCAAAGTATTAATCTTCCCAAGTCACTTGACACCAACCCACCTTTAAAAACATTAACCCATTATTTATCAAGTGCTCTCATTTTTTCCCCATCACACACCAATGTGGTGATTTCTTATCGCGAATTTTTAGCTCTCTTACTTTTACATGATCGATAGTGAGTGAGGTCGTGTGTAGGATGGAAAGGGGGCGACCCTTCCGTTTGGTTCACTGAATGATCAGGGTCTTCAGGTGGCAAGATAACACCTCTCTACAAGAAAATCTGCTCATCTCGCTTTTAAAGGGCAAGATGGTCCTTTTCCAGAATTGAAAGTTACATGCCTAAAGGTAATGTTTAAAACAGTTTGAGAAACACTAAGGGGAAAATGCGCTCTTCGCCAGCTTCCTGAATTAGGGAGACAGAGTAGACCCTTGAGGAGAGAGCAACAGAGAGCAGCCCGTGCATCTGCCTGTGGGTATAAAGTGTGTGTGCACAGAAAACGCCAAACAGCATTTCAGGATGGAGACTGGTTCTTATTCCTTCCCTCTGCCCCATTTTAAAGACACAGCGAGAGGAAAGGGGAAGGGGAAAGGGGGCTCTCAAACTCATCTAAAAGTTACCGGGTGTCATGGGGACAAAGAATGAACAACAAGAGATGGAAAAAAAAAATACTACGCAGGAAGATTTCTCTGGAGTGGAACCCACCCCCCAGCCCTCTAAATAAATCCTACCATTTAATGCCCATAATATTCCATTGCACATGGAAGCCAGGTTCTTCATAATTCCTCAGTTACTAGATCTAGAAATCTACACATAAAGGCCACCCTGCTGTCACCAAAACTTTTAGGAAGAAAAATACGCGGTTTCCTCCACCACCCCCGCAAAGAGTTGTAATTAATACATTGTTTCAGTTTTCAGTTGCCACACTTTCTACCTCCCCTCCCCAGAAGGGCAGCTTCTGCGGCGGCCCAGGGCATCTCACAGCTGCAGGGAGGCCCCCCCCCCCCCGCCCCCGCTCCCAGAGGGCAGCCCTGGCACATTAGCATCTGCAGCCTGTCTGGTCCCTCCCCTCTGGAGTCCCTGTGCACTGCGACGACGCGCTGGCTTCCCAGAGCCGCAGTGGATTGTGTAACCACACTGTGAACGCCTAGAGGAGAGCGTGGTTAGCTTCACTCCTGACAGCATCTGTTAAAAGTCACTGGTGCCAGTTAATAAGAGACCCACCAGGCAGGAGGGACCCTAAGACTCTGGGGGAAGGAGAGAGCGAAGCGCTGTCTGGACAACATCACTGGAGGTAGGGGGTGGGCTTTATAAATCTCTCCAGCAGCAATATTTAAACCCGAAATTCTGTCCTTAGAGCTGGCGTTGCAGGACGGTGAAGAGCGCGCTGAGCCCCGCTCCACGCCTTTAGTGCGGATCAAAGAAAGGGGGATGGGCGGAAACTCAGAATCCTGAGGTGGGGAGTAGCCAGAATTTCTCCTCAGGGAAGCCTCTTGTGAAAATGCCAAGGACGTCTCCGCTCCTCTTTTCAATTATGTAACTCTTACACATTTGGGAGAATATGCATGAACATAAATTTAATTACTTATGAAAGTAGAAAGTCTCCAAATAGGCTGCATTTAAAGCTCTGGGGGCTTCTGAAGTCTTACTAGACCTGGTTGCCACCTGGCAGCGTTAGAGGATGTCATCCTAGGGACTGGACTCCCACCCACCCCTCCCTGGTACCCACAGCGCGGGCAGCCGGGTCGCCGCTAGGGTATGGGGCCCTCTCGGCACGGCAGGATCGGCGCGCACCCACCGCCGCGTCGGCAGGACCAGCAAGTCCGCAGGCGGCGGGGCGAGCTGTCCCCTCCCCCCACCACTGCGAACACCTGGCCCGCGGTTACCTGCGGGACCGCGACTCTCCGCAGCCCACTGGCCGGCTCCCCGGCGCCCCTGCCTTTGGCTGCGGGGAGATGCCCGAGCCCGGGCGCCCGCGCCGCGCCCTCCGCGGGGCCAGCACAGGGCTCGCCGGGGCCTTCATCCGGCGCGGGGAAGAGCCCGCAGCGGCGCTGGAAGCGGGCGACGAGCTGGGAATCCTGCAGGCTCCAGAGCAGCTCGGCCATGGTGATCCCGGGGCCGCCGCCGCCGCCACCACCCGGTGCCCCCCGCTCGCACCGTCCCTCCTGCCTTCGCCCTCGCCGGGCCGGGCGCTCGGGGTGGCGGGCGGGGCCCGGGGCGCCAGCCAACAGGTGCGCCGCTCGGGTCCTAGCGCCCGCCCCGCGCACGCGGACGTCCAGGTGTTCGCCTTCACCTTGCGCCAGGCACGTCCGCCCTCCTTTCCTTCCCAGCGGGCCCGGGCGATCCCCGGAGTCCGGCCCGCTCGGAACTGGGCGAAAGGGTACAGGTGTCTACACCGCGCCTCTCTGCGCCCGACCGCGCCTCCTCCACCCCTCCCGGCTGGTGCAGAAGTGCCACCTAATGGGGAGCGGCCGAGCACGTGTGGACCTGCGTGAGTCCATCCTGGCGTGCGCCGGCTGATCGCTTAGTGACCTTCCTTTCACTTTTGAGCTCAAGGGGAGGTCTGATTTCCCCTCCAGCTCCCCGCATCCCGCCTGTAGTCCTGCCTTTGCCCACCTCCGGCAGGTAGAGGGAGCCCCCCCTAGGGAAGATTCCCAAGTTCTTACCAAACTCTGCGTGATGCAACGTCTCTCCACGGGCCCAAACTTCTTTGACCTTGCTCAACCGAGTAGGTTCGAAGTGGATCCTGAGTCATCCTCTGCGTCCCTACCCTTGCCCTTGTGATTTGGCAACTGGGGAACACTTTTAGGCAGGTGGAAAGGAAAATTGATTCTTTCTTGGTTTTCCGCATTAAGAAAGATGGTGGTTGCCCCTCTCCTACTTCTTTTTTCCGCTCTGCCTCTAGACCTTTAGACCCGAAGAGAACAAGGTGTTGAAGGACCGCGAGGAGGTTGACTTCTCCCCACACCTGCGCCTGCTTTAGGGATCTCAGCTGAACAGCAAAGAAAACATCCTGGTTTTCCCTCCTCCCTCCTGAATCTTCTAGCGGCACTGCACTTCCTCACAGGGAGTGAAAGGCAACAGTCAAATTAGGCCCAGATGACCTGCTTGCAACGAAAGTGCAATTCAATCCTTCTGTCTTGAGTCTGCAGCTGAAGGCTGAGCATTTCCTGGTAGCCCAGTGTAAGTCCTGCTAAGTATTTGGTTGCACAAATGACTATGGAGGAACACCTGCCACGACCTTGTTTATCCAGATGTCAATTCAGGTCTTTGGGATGTAGCTTTCAAGGATGACTGGTCTCCCTCATGCCTGAGTTTCCTCTCTCCTTCCCAGTCCTGTCTGGTGAGCAAAATCAAGGTGGCTGAGAGAGCAATGAAACTATTGGGAAATACCGTTCCCCACTTAACTCACAGAAGAAGTACAGAGCTGCTGTCACAATCCAGCTGTGTCACACACAGAGATGTTCAATCCTAGAAGCAGAAGGCTTCTCTCCTCAATGTTGCTGTCATTTACAGTCACTGGGACCAAACCCTGTGGTTTAGTTTGTTGTTGTTTTTGTGGTTTAGTTTTAACAGCTGGAACTGTAGTGGTTTCGGACCTGTTCTTTTTTTAAAAAATATTTTATTATTTATTTATTTATTTTTTGGCTGCGTTGGGTCTTCGCTGCTGCGCGGGGGCTTTTCTCTAGCTGTGGTGAGCGGGGTCTACTTTTCCTTGCTGTGCATGGCCTTCTCATTGTAGTGGCTTCTCTTGTTGCAGAGCAGGGGCTCTAGGCACGTGGGCTTCAGTAGCTGTGGATCACGGGCTCTAGAGCGCAGGCTCAGTAGTTGTGGCGCACGGGCTTAGTTGCTCTGCGGCATGTGGGATCTTCCCAGACCAGGGATCGAACCCGTGTCCCCTGCACTGGCGGGCAGATTCTTAACCACTGCACCACCAGGGAAGTTCCAGACCTGTTCTTTGTATGTGTTAAAAGAAATATGTTCCCCATGAAGACACTTGAGTGATGTTATCTCCCAAATTTGATGCTTCGATTTTCCTTTCTCCCAATTAGGAAAAAGAGGCAAAGCCAAACATGGCACATGGAGCATAAGGCCAAAAATCGCATATTCAGACAATGCATTATATCCCCCTCGGGGACCAGGTACTGACTCCAGCTTCCAGTGGCTTGTGATGTCACACTTTCCTCCTGTGATGAAATGAGAATCCTCACTTCTTGTCTTTCTTATATGGCTGGGGTGGCAGTGCTTGGCTTGTGGCAGTACTACTCCAATCTCCTTCTCTGTTGTCACAGGGCATTCTCCCTGCATGACTCTCTGTGCTCAGATTTCCCTCTTCTTATAGGGACACTAGCCATTGGATGAGGGTCCACTCTAAACCAGTCTGGCCTCATCTTAACATGATTACATCTGCAAAAAGGCCACAGTCACAGGTTCTGGGTGCGCGTGAATTTGGAGGGAATGCTACTCAACCCAGTAAAGTACTTACTCAGTGCCAGGCATGTGCTCAGTACTTTCATGCCATAACTAATTTAATCACACTTTACCCTCCCAGTAGCCCTCATCCTTCATGTATTTGACAATTGTGCATTTACTAGTGTCAGACGCTCTTCTAGGCCTGGGGGATACGTCAGTTAAAACACCAGAGGCCCTAGATCGTGGAACTTATATTTTAGTGGGGGGACAGCTAATTAAAAAAATCAAATCTGTACTTTTAGGAAGTGACAAATGCTATGGAGAGGAGCAAGGTGGGTGGGGTAGGGGGAAGACCTGTAGGTAAGTTGGTTACCTCCAAGAGGAGGATATTTGTGCAGAGACCTGAAAAAAAAAAGGAGCACCCCCCCCCGGCCCCCCGCCCCAATCCAGATCAGGAGAAACAGCATTTCAGACAGAGGAAGCTGCAGTTGTAAAGGCAGCCCAAGCTCAGCAGTGTCGGAGGAACCACCAGGAGGCCAGCCTGGCAGGAGAGGCTTGAGTGCAGGGATTGACTTGGGAGAGGTGGGACCAAGTAGGGCCATTTAGGGTGTAATAAGGAGTAATGCTCCCAGCTCAGAGGTAGGAAACTTGCCCACAGCCACACAACTAAGTGGCAGAAGGAGGGTTCAACTCAGGTCTTTGTGACTCTAAAACGTATTCTTTCCATTACTAAATCACATTCTATCCCTGGAATTTATCTTTACTCTTGTATTGAAAAGTATTCCCAGTGTGTAATGAGTGCTCAATAAACACTTAGTGAATGTTGTTCTAGACTAAGAGTACCCCTCACAGTTTTTAGAGCTTTGGGAGTTTAGGGCTCATTTGCAAATTTTTGCATGTAAATTCTACAACCCCCAGAGGCAAGTAGTTTTATCTCTTCTTTTAGAGGAGAAAACTGAGGCTCTGAGATGTGAAGTAATTTTTCCCAAAGTTACAAAATGTATTACATTCTCTTTTCAGGGTCTGCCATCTCACACTGCTCTTATGGGAGGATCTCCTTCCTCCTTCACCCACTCTCTTCCCAGGGGATGGGAAAGGAACGGGAGAGGAGATTGGCAGCCATCGTTTGAGCCATATGACCTGGCCCCCTGGTCAGAGCTAATTGGCCCTGGGCTGGACACCACTTGACCAAACTTGGGATCATCAAACGCTTTCTCTTTGGGCATTTGGATTCATAGACCCCAGCTGGTATCTGTTGAACTAAGGAGAAGAAAATTCGCAAACTGGAGACCACACCGTGGGGCAGGCAAGTGGTCTTACTGCTGAGTGCTCACAAGGGAGAAGTAAAGCAGACACACAGAGAAGTTAGGCAAGGCAAGCAATTGATCCTGAGAGACAGCTCCGCGGTGCCTCGTTCCAGCCACAGTGAAGGTCCTCCTAGCCTGGGTTCCCAAACTACCCCCGAATCCTTGGTAACAACTCCCCCATTTCTGTTACTTATGGCCTGAAGAGTCCTAACTCAGCCAGCCAGGAATTGACAGAACACGGAAATGGAGCAGCAACTCCCCACCTTCAAGCTACCATCAAGGGGTTACCAAAGCCCTGCCCACTGCTTGCTGCTGGAGGCTTCTTCTTGCTGCCATGGAAACCGATTCTGACCCCTCACCCCAGCCCATCAGGGTTGTTGAAAAGGGCTGCAGAGTCCTGGCTTCCTAAGAGATTCTGGAACACAGTGAATCTATTGATATTTCACCTCATGGTGAATCAGACTGCTTTCTAGGCTTTGCTGGAAATCTAGTCACTCTCTGTGGGGAAGCCATTCTGAGATCCAAGCTAACTTTTGGCACATAACCCTTTCAAAATTTGCAGACTACTATATGTGAGTTTGGTTACTGGCAGTCTTTTTTAAAAGGGTAATTTATATCTTTGCATATATGTTACGTAAAGTAACCAAGGATTAATAGCTTTAGCGGATTAGAGATACATCATTTGTTGACAAATTGATCAAAACCCTAGGCTCCAAGGACTGTTCAGATCACTGAAATTTTAAAATGTAAAGCATTAAACGCATCTTTGTTTTCTGGGGTTGCAACCCCTTTCTTCTCCTTAACTAATGAAAAACAATTTTTCTATTTAGACAGTTTCAATAAATCATCAAACATAAATTCTTGGGGTCGGGGGGGGGAACCTTTCAGGCTGGGAGAAATTTCAGGTTAAAACCTCCCTGCTTAACTGAGCTTGGCTTTGCAACATTTCATCCTACAAATGGTTTAAAAGAAAACAGTTACAGGTGATGTTCCTGTAGAGGGAAAGCAGTAAGAAGAAAGACTGGGAGCCTTGAATTTCTCCTGCAGCGAACAGGCAAGGAATGGTCCAGTTCGCATGCTCTCACAACCATGAGTATTGGTTAAGAGTTTGATTTCAGCCAGGACTTCTTGGTTTGAATCCAGTTGAATCAAACCATATGAGACAAAATAGTTTTCCAATGAGTTTTGATGGATTTTGACCACTTTATGAGGAACATTGTAGGGTTTAGCCTGCTCTACCTAACTAAAGAACTTGAGGGAAGGGGGATATCTCATGCCAACCAATTTTAAAAGTCAGTCCTCTTTGTTTGGCTTATGCTTTGATAAAACATCAAACATCTAATAGAGAAAAGGGAACCATTTCTTCCCATTCCATCAGGCATGCATTGGGGTTGGTCAAGCTCATATACAGGGAGCCCCAATTTAAGACAAAGAAAATATATTTGACTGTTCACAAGTGGTCTATTAGGATAGTCATTTTTATTCCTAAAGAATATTCCCTATTAGTATCACTCCTTGTTGAGTGCTTTCCAATAATCAGTTTCCTGGACACTTTTTTTGTGTGTGTGTGTGGTACACGGGCCTCTCACTGCTGTGGCCTCTCCCGTTGCGGAGCACAGG